ACAATAACAACTTCTTAGAAAATCAATTTCTCGAAGCCCATTACCTTTCTCCCATTTTCCACACTTACAACAGATTTTCCCTTTTTCAAAACATACTTTTGAATACCCAATTTTCCCTTCACACTTTTCCAAAATCTCACGATGGCATTTTGGTTTGTTCCCAATACATTCATATCTATACATGCATGCCTTCAATAAAAATGAGATAACAAATCATCAACATGTATATAATCAACAAATGAGGCAACTCGGCCCTTCAAAACTGTAACCATCACAATCCATGATATACTCAGATACACTGAGACAAAAACAATAAAACTCTGCTCTACCGACTATATGCACAGTAAGCCAAGGATGCAACTCTCACAACGGTATGCCATTTTACCAGGTGCTAGCTAGAAGGGTGTGGTACCTTAGATTCTCAACGCAGTCAGTTCTCCAGGCGCTAGCTGGAAGGTAACAGTACCTCTAATTATAAGCGCAGGGTATAACACCAATAATCACAATATAACAAAGTATAACCAACAAGTGTAATACATACACATAAACTATCAAGATACATAAGCAATATGTTAAAGTATATGAACACATAGGTATGTGTGGAATACATCCCCTATCTCCTCCCACACACTTATACATATATAATGTACCACACTTCATTACACACAATGTTCAATCAACACAGGTGTAATGCATACACGACAATTCAACACAACCATGTCATCCTCCACCGATGACCAAGGACAAAACCTCTAAATGCATGATTTTAATACACCTATTATAAAGACTCAACTCTCATGAGATCTTAAACTCAACAACAACACTAGTACAATAGGTAAGGGTAAAACCCCCAAATGTGTGTATTCAACACTCATGATACAACAATTCAATTCTCATATTTATTTTCTAAACCTCACATAGAGTTAACATTTCATTTCTCATTTCCAAGATCAACTCCCAGGATTTTCCAATTTCAAAACCCCTTTTTCATTTCACAAAACCAATTCCATTCATTATAAAGCCATAACCTGACTCGATTCAATACATTCATATCAAAACAACCCCAAAGTCATAGTTAATCCCTTAAGCATTAACACCTTCACCCAACTCATATTAACAATAGAGGCTTATAAACATTAATCAACCACCCTCCATTTTAATTTACCAAATCAAAACATAATTTAGGGCTTTTTCTTATCTCCATGATAACATGCTAATTTACACTCCAATTAGCCCGAAGAACTATCAATGATAAAATAATCATTCTCAAACAACCAACCCTAGGTTCCCTCACATGGTTTTCAAAGAAATTCAACATGATATGATTTTCATGCAATATAAAACTACCACATGTCTATCTATAGACGGAGTATTGAAAAAGAACAAGGAGAATCCCTACCTCAAATGGAGAACCCAAGGGGAAGAAGAGCCAAACTCGGAAGTGCTCCAATCCCAAAGTTTTTCTGATCAAAACGAAGCCCTCAACAAGCTCCACACTTTTTACAAAGGCCCAAGGATAGAAGATCACTCCTACTAGATCAAACCCTAGAGACAAGTTTGAGTTTTAGAGTGAGGTGCTCTCCAATGGAGGTTTTGAAAACTAAGAGAGAGAAAGAAAGCGTGAAAAGTGATTTAAAATCACCCAACTGCCATCTGATATACGACTAGTTCGCTCGAGCGGAGAATATGACGCTCGAGCGTCAAGCACAAAAAACTAGCGCAAAAAGGCCCGCTCGAGCGCGACCCGCTCGAGCGTAAGGAACTCCGCTTGAGCGTAAAAAACAAACCTGCAGTACAGCGTCAAGCACAAAAAACTGGACCCGCTCAAGCGCAAGAATACCCGCTCGAGCGCCAAGACACAACTGCAAAACACACCCGCTCGAGCGCAAAGGGAAACCCGCTCGAGCGTAGATTACCCTCTTCTAGTATATTTACAGACATTGAACACCCGCTCGAGCGCAAAAAGGCCCGCTCGAGCGCGACCCGCTTGAGCGTAAGGAACTCCGCTTGAGCGTAAAAAACAAACCTGCAGTACTTTTGCAGACGCACAAAATGCTGAAAGGCTGCAAACTCCGCTCGAGCGCGAAGGGATCTGCTCGAGCGGATCACTAAAAACCTAGGCAACAATAATTGGGACAAAAGCTCAACCAACCTGTTCGAAACACGCCCAAGACAATTCTAAACTCAAATACAAAGAGTTAAGGAACGGAAATGAAATACAGACAACAACAGCTATCAACGGAACCGAGTCCGGAAAACAGCAAACATGAGAGGAAAAATCGGGATCGCTATAAAAAAAGACATTTAAAAATCACAATTCACATATACAGATAATTGTAAATACAACCCGTGCATAGCACGGGTGATATGCTAGTATATATTAAGGAAAATGGGGTTTCTAACCCCCAAGTCTTGTGGGAGCTCCAATCTTCCAATCTTAATTTTCTAAATTTTTTATTTTAAAAAAAATCTCAGTATTTATTGATTTGGTCAAAATCCTCTGATTAGCATTTATTAACTTTTTTCAATCCAGATGTCTTTCCACATGCTTGCATTTATTGATTTGGTCAAAATCCCTGATCAGCATTTAAAATCCCCTCATACAAATAATTATAGATACAACTCGTGCATAGTTACTACAATAGCCTTTTTAATTTCTCCTATACACTATGTTTAGTGATAAGATTGTTAAATTATTTTTATAAAAAATCTTAAAAAACATAATTTATATAATAAAAAATTTTTAAAACAAATATAAATATCTATAATTATCTCGTGCATAGCACGGGTGATAGGCTAGTATTATATAAGGAAAGGGGTTTCTAATTCACAAGTTTTTTGGGAGCTCCAATATCCCAATATTAATTTCCTAATTTTTTGATTTAAAAAAAAAATCTCAGCATTTATTAATTTGTTCCAACCCCCAAGCCTTTTGGGAAATTTGGTCAAAACTCTCTCATAATAAAACTTTAATGCATTAAGGGCAAGCATAAAAAAAATTCATTTGAAAAGTCCAACACATATAATTATTATCAAAATATTAAATTTTAATATAATATCTATCTATCTATATCTATATCTATGTATTATGTAAAGAAAATGAGATTTTTAACCCATAAGTTTTGTGAGAATTTCAATATCGCAATCTTAATTTTTTAATTTTTTGATTTTAAAAAATAAATAATCTCAGCATTTATTGATTTCTTCTAACTCATAAACATTTTTGACTTCTCTCATAGTTATTGTGTCATGACCCGCTCCCCGTACCCAAGGGTTAAGAATCGTGATGGCCAGTAACTAAGGTTACCTCCGGCCAATTCTTAAACAAATCAATAAATGCGAGCGGAAGTAATATTCAAGTGAGGGTACCAAAATAATCATTAGAGCTTCTATTTTTATTACAAAATTTATTGACCAAAAGGCCGATATTTACATATAAAAATATCATAAAAGTGTTGTGTGTGTCTATTCTGCAGCCCCGCGTCTAAGGCTTTCCAACAACTATTTCTGAATTGCATTATTTCCTGAAAATTGGTAAACAGCTATAAACACATGGCAGAGTGAGAAATATTATACCAAGAGTATAAGGGACACAAAATAACCATGGATAGTTATGTAACTAAAATATTTAAAATAACTTAGTCTGAACAAATAATTATTTAAGTAACAAAACTGAGATTATGTAAATAAATAACCGTAACCACAGTACCGAAAAAAATAGAACAGAGGTCACAGGAGTGACAGTCAGAACAGAGGTATAGATTCAAGAGATGGCTCGTACGGATTATAGAGGTGGCTCCCACAATAGTGTGGCACTTATCTCCGCACAGCACTTTGCTCCGCACAGAACAAAGGTCAATAGATCCATGACAATAAAGGGCCACAAACTGACCAAACATAGGCCAATAGTTATTTAAGTCCCCCAAAGCGTGAGACTCCCGTGGTGGTACTTACAAAACATAATTGTTTATAAGGTTATAATCAAATATATACCAAAATTTAAACAATGGGTTTCCTTTTAAGTAAATAGAGTTTAGAAAGTAACCCACGTAACTGAAATATTTATAAAACATAACTTTTATTAATATAACTTAATAAAATATAACTTATATAAAATAAGCTATGGTAACTCCAAACATTCATAAAATATATAATGGTAAATCAAGGTATAATATAACTCACTTTAATATTGACCCTTAGCCTTACTCCACTAACACAACCTCCCTACTATAAGTTTAGTACTTATACGCACCTCTCTCGTTTTCTTTTTCTTCCTTTCCTTTGGTTTTTCCTTCACAGGTTGTCCCACTCCTCCCTATAAATAGGGAGGTCAGGCCACTCTTATGCCGACACATGACGGATTAAAATCTTTCTACAGATTTGTTCAATCTCACTTGGATACGTAATTTATAACGAAAGATTTATTCTTATCTTAGTAGTTGTTTATGATAATTACACTTTTGCCTAATAAATTAATCCCTAATTAAATTTCACTTTATCGTATACCAATAGAAAATTAATTATTTATTTTACTGCCACACCCACTATTATTATTATTATTGTTGTCAATATTATTATTTATTCCCTCTATTTATTTACTATCTTTAACTCTAATTTGTATTATAATTTTATATTTGTGTTAATTTACCCTCAAGTAATAATTCCTAATTAATCCCATATTTGATAACCCAACGCCAAATTAGATTTATATATTTATTTGTTTAATAACCTATCATCACATGCAACCATAATTATATATAACTATAAATATTTATGTGGTGCTTAATTTAACGTTCAGGGTGTCACACATGCTCCCTAAATTCATTTCTAAATACATATGTTAGCACATGTGTAATAAATAAAGTTTTAATCAATAACATGATATAAAATTAAGATATCAAACTATAAATATATAACATCAGATTAGTTTGAAAATAATACCATAATACATAACATCATATATAAGTTTTCTCCGCCTATGACATTATCAAAAAGAAATCATGGGTCAGAATCTGGAGGAGGAGGAGGAAAATGATAGGGATAAATGGCATCAAAAAAATAGATAATCAAAACATATATATACATATACATATATATATATATATATATGAATCGCCCGCGCCTCTCTTTTTCGTTGAAAATCGCGTCGAACACGCGGCCTCGCTTTTGCGTCAGCCGACCGACAAAAGCAACTCTCCTCGATTGCTACTCGCCTCAGCTATTGCTCCCTCCTTGTCTTCTTCTCTTCAGTCTTCTTCTTAAGCACACTCGTCTGCGTCTTCTTCTTCACCTCACTCTCTTCTATCTCTTCTTCACCACTCTCTTCTATTTCTCTGCAACTCATTTCTTTTACACCTCTCACCGCTAAACCATGGCTTCCTCATCCCGTTCCCTCACTCTATTTTCGGACCTGAACGATCCCATAAGCTCTGCTGGACCGAGTGCCCCTACTCCTATTCTTCCTGTCATTCCTCTGCCTAACCTTTCTATGATGTCGATTGAGCAAATAATGACAGCGCAATCAGATATTGAAACCAATCATTTCACACTGACGTCCTGTATGGAGACGGTGACTGCAGTCACAAAATTGGCGTATCGACTGCAGAACAGAACGAGTGAACTCCATCAGGTCAACGCCTAACTCTCTCTGTTTCAGCACATGTATCAGGACGCTCGACGAGAGATTAGTCAGTTGAAGAGGCAGAACAAAGAGTTAAAGCACCAAACAACAAGTGCAAATCCTGAGGCAGGGCCTTCAAAGTGTTCCCCAAAATGAATCCTAATGTGAGGTGATCGGCAATAGAGTTGAGCTATAGGCCAGCGGCGCCAGTAGCTGGAGCAGGGGCACCGAGGGCACCTCCGGCCCGAGGCAAGAGTGGGTCCTGGAGAGGGTAGAGAGCTGGATGACCAGCCTCCCGCTCGAGCGCAGAATGCACTCGCCCAGCACTTTTGCAGAACCAGGCCTCCGCTCGAGCTCCCAACCCTACGCTCGAGCGGCACTCAGACAACCCCGCTCGAGCGGCCAATACCACGCTCGAGCGTACAACGCTGCACAGGAAAATACTGAATGGGTGTAATCTACGCTCGAGCGCCAACACCTCCGCTCGAGCGTACAGGCCAAAAATCTGGGCAACTGGTTTTGGTTTCTAAACTCAACCAACCTGTAACAAATCCGCTCAACACATCCTATAACTCAAATACAAAGTAAGAAAAGATGCAAACAAGATAATAAACAACTACCAACATCCACGGACACATGTCCGGATCACTATATAACAAGGGTAAACCCGGGATCGCTATATGTTTTGTGGGGAACATGCCTGTTAACCAAGTGTAACGTTATTTGTCTTCTACTTTTCTTCTACAATGGTAAAAGAAATTAGCTTTCAGAGTTAAGCACAAATGCATATTTATCCTGTTTTTGTTATATTTTCTGTTTTCTTTGCTTTCATTTTTCATGTTTTTGTAAACAAAAACAATAAAAAGTTCAACCCATCATTTTCAAATTGTTTCTGTTTTTGCTAGTTTTCAAAAATTCAGAAACAACTTTTGTTGTTTCCTAAAAGGTGGATTGTTTCTAGAAAATTGTATCGAAAAAAGTTTGCCAAACAAGTTTTCTGTGTTTTTCGGAAAGTGAAAACAGAAAACAAAAAAATGATCACAAAATCAAACAAGCTTTTGGTTGAGTTTTCAAAATATGTTTTTTGAGTTTAATGAAAAAAATCAAAAACACTAATCATTTTCATATAGGAAACAAAAACAATAAAAAGTTCAACCCATCATTTTCAAATTGTTTATGTTTTTGCTAGTTTTCAAAATTCAAAAACAACTTTTGTTGTTTCCTAAAAGGTAGATTGTTTTTAGAAAATTGTATCAAAAAAAGTTCACCAAACAAGTTTTCTTTGTTTTTCAGAAAGTGAAAACAGAAAACAAAAATACAATAACAAATTCAAACAAACTTTTGGTTGAGTTTTCAAAATGTGTTTTTTGAGCTTAATGAGAAAAAAAAAATCAAAAACACTAATCATTTTCATATTTTGGGCAAATTTTTTTTTATCTTTTTGAATTTTTTTTTTTTTTTGGTGTTTATTTTCATCAAACTAAACTGAAAGCAGATTATGAAAACTCAACCAAACAAGATAAGATACTTCTTTTGGTGGATGAGGTTAATTATTTATCTAGTTCAAAATTCTCTTGATGTCATTGATGACAGATTTGATGTTTCACACTCCTTTGTTACTTGGATGTTTTAAATAGCCCAAATGATGTTTAGATAACTATTCTTGCTTCATATGCTGGTCTTCTTTGCATAGGTACAGTGACACTAGAAGGTGTAATATATAGCTTTGGCACTCTTTTGCTTGATGTTCTTAGTGGGAAACATATTCCCCCTAGCTATGTAAGTATCTGTATCTTACAACCAAATTTGATGTTTTATGCTTTATGCAAATTATTTTTTGACAATACTGTTGTTCGAGTCTAGAGCACCCCCCCAAAGCTTATATTTATCGTTTTATTCTGTTCTGGATTTTATATATGTAGTTACAGGCATATCTATTTGTATATCTATGTTAATACATAGTTATGCATGTATTTTTTTTTAAAAAAATTACCACGATTAGTGTGTACTTTAATGTAAACATCTACCTCGATAAAGTGGTCAGGAATTGGAAATAATCTGAGTCCTTTCTGTTGGTTTTTGGAAAGTATTGAAACCATGAAGCTAGGGTAAAATGGAAATGCTGGGTGAGGGCTTAAAGACCCATTTGACTCCAATAGAATGGACATTGGGAAAACAGAAATTCTCGAAGTACCCTTATCTTAAAACAATCATTCTGAAAAACAAATGGAAGTCTTTAAATTCATAATAGAGCAATAAATAAAATGGTTGCAAATTGTCATGGCAAAGGCAAATATTAGTAAAAAGTTAAAACAGAACAAACACCCAAGCACACAAGGCTTTGCATGGTTTGGCTATAAGCCCACGTCCGCTGGTGAAGAATGGAATTCACTATGAAGATTGAGATTACAATAAGCTGGCTTGCTCTCTCTCTCTCTGAATATGTATATAGGGATCCAAAATTGGCAAACCTACAACGATCCAATATCTTTGTGCAGATATTTTCCATTTCTTAGATTAATGATCTTTCTAGGATATGTATTTGACATTACGTGCCTAACGCTGTGGTAATTCTACCAGGCCCTTGATTTGATACGGGACAGGAACCTTGAGATGCTGACAGATTCTTTATTGGAAGGAAAATTTTCCGATGATGCCAGGACTAGGTTAGTACGCTTGGCTTCTCGATGCTTGCAATATGAACCCCAAGAAAGGCCAAATCCAAAGTCATTAGTGGCTATTTTGACTACTCTTCAGGAAAATACCAAGGTCAATTGCATTTTTATTTTTTGCATAATTTTCTTAAGAATAAAGGTTTGTCATCCCAAAGCAACTCAGAAATTAGAGAGTCTGGACTGTTTCCTAATTATTTGTTTATTTTTTTTGGTATGATACTTTTACATTTTTAACTTCTTATAGTCAGAAGTAGTTATTTGAAATTTTGAATGTGCCAATTTCATCTTGTTAAGCGGATTTAGGTTTGTTATGAATCTTTGGTTTCTTGCTGTACAGGTTCCTCCTCATGTCTTAATGGGCATCTCGCCCAGTGCTTCCTTCTCACCTAAATCCCCATTTGGTGAAGCATGCTTAAGAATGGACTTGACTGCCATACATGAGATCTTGGAGAATAAAGATGACGAAGGTGTCACCAATGAGGTATTGTATATGTTTAAAAAATGATAAAGATTAGATTTTTCTCGTCATGTATTCTGAAGTCAACATCTTAATCTCACATAATTGTCTCATTAGAATGTTTAGGGCTTATACATAGTGCAATGTAATTGCTTTGTAAGCTTCAGCTTCAATTTTCCGTTGCCTGAGCATGATATATCGGTCAATATCGACTGATATATAAGTGAATATCGGTATCGGAACTCTAAAATCCTGATACTAATTGGCTGATATCTAAAGCCCTCCCACCTTTTTCTTTTTCCTTTGTTGCCATGGAGGATGTCAACCGCTTGAGAACATGTTATGCTCTGTCATACCAGAGACAATTTTATCGTTCTTTTTGACCCAGATAAAATTACAGCCTATGCATTGTGCTTTTGCTCACTACCATCTTTCAACATTGCAGCTCTCATTCCAAATGTGGACTGACCAAATGCTGACAACAATAAATTTGAAGAAAAAAGGCGATTCTGCTTTCCGGTGTAAAGATTCTAAAGCTGCAATTGACTGCTACACACAGGTTATTTTTGTTTTGTTTTTGTTTCTGAATTCTAATTTAATGGCAGTCAATCTTGGTATCACATAAAATACTCACTAACAATTGGAAGCTTTGGGGAATTACTGAGATGATTATGACAATTTGTCTAAGTAATGTTTGGGAGTGTTGCCTTATAAAAACGATTTACATTTTGGAATGCACATTCCAAAACATGGTACAGTTTCATTCCAAAACAATGAATTTAGCTATCAAAGCGATTCGAAAAATATTTTCCACTATAAACCTTAAAAGTTACCATAAAGAGGAAAAACAAATCAAATATAATGAACTAAAATTTTAGGAGAGTATGGTTGACAAAAGGTAAAAAATTGGTCATAATGCTCATACAAGTGTGTGGTAACATGATTAATTTGAAAGGAAAAAAAAAAGGGTAACATTTTATTGGATGTCTAATGCTTAGAGCCCTAGAAGTATCTTAAATTCTATTAGTCTAATCAAATAAGTCTAATCATATCGTACCTTTTATAAAATGTGACATACCACATACGTGATCATGTTCCATGTACCAAAACAATCCATGTCTCAGGTAATTCAGAGATAGTGGCAGTTTATGGGAAAACTGTGATAATCTGATGGTTACATTCTTGAAAATCTGAGTGAATGCTGGAATCCTAATAACGATTTTATTTTCCTACTTGCAGTTTATTGAAGCGGGAATAGTAGGGTCACCAACAGTTTTTGCTCGCCGCAGTTTGTCTTATCTCATGAGCGACTCGCCACAGGAAGCTGTAAAGGATGCAATGCAAGCCCAAATCATATCTCCAGCCTGGCACGTACCGTCTTATCTACAAGCCTCTGCACTTTTCACCCTTAAAATGGAAAATGAAGCACATATAGCCCGTAAGGATGGTTCAGCTCTTGAAGCCAGAAGGAGCAAAAGTGTTTGACAGTAACGAAATGATGTACAGATATGTAAATCTTCTGCTTTGCTCGCTTTGTCTCACTTCCTTTGTGAAGATCATTATTTGGCACGTATTGAAAGGTTTTTGCTCTGACGGGAGCTTTATTCTATTCAACAATCATAACGAAATTATCGTTCTTCATTTCTTGTTCACAGTTGTAGTTTGACCGATTTTCACACCCTTCAGATAGTTACATTTATTTGTTTTGGAAGTTATAATGATTTATTTGGTACTTTGTGTTCGTGTATTTACAATTTCGATGTAATGCTTTATTTGATTTCCCAGAAATTGTCTTTACTGGTTTTCTTTTTCTCCATCTTCTTGGTTTTGAGATGGTCAAAACGTAGATTTGCACTGCCATTTCTGAATGTTAGTTATATAGAGGATACTTTAGCGTAGACCTTGAAATTTATTTTGAGAGTTGATTGGATTTGTGTACCGAAGCTTTCCCCCAAGGATGAGATTTGCCATGTTTGGATCTTGGATTTGTGGAAAGGAAACAAAAAAGAAAGGGAAAAGATGAATGAAGTAGGGTGGTTTTGGATATTGGATTTAGGGTTTCTTCTCTCTTTTTTTTCCCAAAAAACATAGAAAACTTGTTTGATGAACTGTTTTCGAAAATAGCTTCCGAATTTTTTTAGGAAATACTAAAACGTTTGTTATGTATGTTTGAAAGCATTTTTTGCACAAAAATGAAAACGATAGGTGTTTTCAAACTTTTCATTGATTTATTTTTAAAAACACAAAAAATCAAAACGAAAAAAATCAAAACACAACCATACTCTTTTCCTCCACAAATTAATATCTGAACGCAGCTTTATGCTCTCATTATATGCTTTCCAATTTGCACTTTGACCATTTGGTGTCTTTTCCCATTTGCTTCTGGTCTATAATTAGTTCTAGGAAGCATTCACTCATCTGGTGCCTTTTCTTATTTTCTTTTCCTTCAAAAGACAACAATGGTGACTGCCTAACTTGGGGCTGCCTTTTTCTTTTGATAGAGTATGGAACTGGTTTTTAGGTTTTCTTGTAATAACATATTCAAAATCTTTTAGCATTAGTTTTGATCGTAAGAGAGCTATCTCTTTTCCAGTGTTGTTTGGCAAACAAGTATAGATTTGCAACTTCAAAACACAGTAAAAACATTTCATTATTACTTTGTTCGAGTCCAAATTGCATTAGTAGCAAAACTAATTTGTCAAAGCAAAATCTAAAATCAAAACAACAGTAATATCAGAAGCAAAAATAAATGAAAAAAGGTCCTGTAACGCCCTCAAAATAATAACATTAAACCCATCAAATAAGACATGCATTTACATATAAACTAACCACATTCTATTATTCATTAGAGTTCCATTACATAGGTATAACATGTTAACATCAAAACAAAATGCCCTACGGGCTTACAGCTTTCCAAGTTAAAACTTGGTTACAACAAAGAGTACTAACTCGTTTACACATTAAGCCCTTGGCTTGAAGTTACATGTAATACATCAAAAGTTAAGCGACAAAAGTATGTCCGCTTCTAGCCTCCCAGCTATGTCCTTGGAGGTGGCATGTTTCCTGCACCTGAAAATGATATTCCCATATAGGGTGAGCCACAGCCCAGTAGAAATATACTAAACCAACCATGAACAATGACTAAAATATTAGCAATTGATAGATGGCCAACACTGATACAATCACATAAATCATATATTTATGTCAAACGACTTACAAGTCCCAATTACTTTTCATTTCCCCTTTTTCAACAGATAGGCATATAAGCACTACCCACATGCTCAACAGATATGTATAACAACAATATCCACAGATAAGCATAAAAGCTATATCCACACTGAAAACCCTGCGTCTGCCTAGAACCAGACGCTCCCGAAGTGGCACTCAACTGTGGGCAAAACCTCTTCATGTGCCCAGGCTATCCACACTGATAACAAGACCTTGCTCCTTTGAGATTAAGTGTTGAGCTTACCAAGGGCTTCGTTTTGATTGGAGCAAATCATTGTTTCGTCTCCGTTTACTTTTGAGTTTTTCTTTTATCCATAATTACCATTTCAACCCTTAGGTCCCTTTTTCATCAATGATTCAACAATCATTCCATTTTTTCTATGCCAAACATGCATCTAGGTTTATTATGAATAAAACCCCAACTTTTGTAAAATTACACAAAAGCCCCAAACTTTCACAAAATTACCAAACCAAGCCCAACATCTCAAAATACCAAAATTTGCATGTTGTTGCAATAGAGAGGAGTAGGATATCCCTACCTTGAAGTTTTAGCCAAAAAGGAGATGAAGACTCGAAGATCAACTTGCTCCAAATCTAATTTTTTTCAGATTAAATCGAAGCTCTCAACGCCCTCTATCTTTTTAACAAAGGCCCTAGGCTAGATTCACACTCTAGGGAGATCAAATCTTAGAGAGAGAGTAAGTTTAGAGAGAGAGAGTGTCGGATTTAGGTTTTGCTCAAAGAAAGGAAGTGAAAAAGTGATGTTTAAAACGCTACTGTCCGCTGATATAAAACACTCTCGCTCGAGCGAAGGCTTGGTCGCTCGAGCGACCAGACACAGAAAACTCTCGCTCGAGCCAAGAAGTTCTCGATCGAGCGAAGAAAAACCCAGACCGCTCGAGCGAAGGAAGCTCGCTCGAGCCAAGAAAGACAGCTCTCAGGTCCAGAACCAGGTGCAACCGCTCGCTCGAGCGAGCCACTCTGGCTCGACCCACCAAACACGAACCCCACTCTCGCTCGAGCGACAAACTCCTCGCTCGAGCGAAGGTCCAAAATTTTGGGCAGCAACACTAGGCTCCCGAACACAACCAACCTGTAACAAACCTGCCTAACACATCCTATAACTCAAATATGAAGAAAAAGGAATGTAAACACGATAATAACCAACTACCAACATCCCCGGACACATGTCCGGATCACTGTACAACAAGGGTAAACCCGGGATCGCTATAGGTCCAAATTGCATTAGTAATATCAGGAATCAACATTTCATACCTTTGTATGAGATGCCTAGGAATGTTGGGGAATCGAATATTCCCAATTTACTATTTGGATATACCATTAATGTATATCGAAAACGAAACTTCAAGATCATATTCATATTTAGTTTACTAATAATATAACCATCATAAATTAGATTTACAAAATAAATAAATAAATCCTTACATAGAATGAGAACGAGAACGCTCCCCCCTCCCCATGGTAAAGAGATTCCAGCCATATGAGGGTATCTCAATCTTGGATTCTGATCACCAAAAATAGGCACCAAACACAGGAAATTAGCAAAATGGGAATGGGATTCATTTCAAACAAACCCACATCCATGCCAAGTTAACACCAACAAGAAATCTTCCTTCATTTAAAAATAAAAATAAAAATAAAAAGGATTAAGATCCTGAAATGCAATTGGTAGCACTACTCATCCTCAAATAATATGTGACCATTTATCTTACATTACACATCATAGACAAAATTGGTGAAGGCACAACTATGTGAGGATTCATAAAATGATGGAACATTTCCTTATCCACACAAATTAACAAAAATGCATAAACAAAAATGTCATCTTTAACAAAACCAAATTTCAAGCATTGAAGGTGTCAACATGTTGCATATCACTCTTGTTTTTCATTCAGGTTTCTTTTGAAAACTGTGGAGATCAATATTCTTCCTTTGTTCCACCTAGGTCTAACAGGTAGTTGTAACATCAATTGAGATTAATTAATGCAACCTAACAAGCACGGACATGGTGATTTGAAAAAAATGGGAACACAGACACATGGGGGGACACGACAATAAAATATTTTTTCATGCATTTTTATTGTTATGTAGATTAGAATTAAATCCATAAACGATCAAAAATAACAAAAAACTGAAACTAATTCGATATTTTAAAATATATATCACTTTAAATTTAAATTAACACTTAACATTTAGATCTTTATTATGGATGATCTATTAAGTATTTAAATCTAAGCAAAAGGTAATAAATATTCAACATCCAACATCCATCAAAAACAATAAAGAAAAGAGGGGAAAAAATAGTTGGTGCGTCCCCTAAAAACAAATTAAATAAATAAAAAGACACGCACACGTGGGGTGTCCTGTATGCGTCTCCATGTCCGACACCGCTACAACACTTGTTTTCAAGTGTCAGTGCTTCAGAGAATGCAAGCTTCCTCCAATACATTTATTATTTACCTCTTCCTTTAACCCTACCTATTATGTAATTTGCATGCAAAGATCTAAAACACATGACTGATCTATTGTGACTAATGAAGTCCCAAGGTATCGCCGGTCAATCAGAAGCATCAATTTCACAAGTTCTAGATTAACATTAATATCTTAGAAATACTACAAAAATGATATTAGAAATACTACAAAAATGATACATGGCGAAATCTTAAATACACTAAAAAATCAAATCCTATTTTCTCATTCTGCAAGAGATTCAAAAAAAATAAAAAATAAATACACAGTCAAAATGCCACATTCAAGCCAGACAATAATTGATAATGACTAAACTGAACCATTGTTGCCATATTTTTTGGGATACTAAACAAAAATTTTTGCTCACACATCATCTTGCAATTTGGACCCTAAAGTGTATACAAGATGCTTATGTTACATGACTTCGGGCAAGAATATTAGGTGAAGGTGCGCATCCAAGCATCAAGCTTTCATAAATCTAAACCTTAAGATATTTCTAAATCCATAAGTTGGACATGGATAAGGAAAAATGTCAAGGACAATAATATAATTGCACATTATATAACATTCTTCAATAAGATGTAAATTATGTAAAAATGTATTTGAATTTAAATACGATTTAGGGAAATAAAAAACTTCTCTCTCCCATCAAGCTATTAGTGTTTCTTAACTTACAAATGTGAGTTTCTTCTTCTTTAAACATTGTAAAAAATTAGAGAATCGAAGTGTCTAAATTAGATACGGGTGTCAAACACATATCCTACCATTGCCCTTGTTATGTCCGGTCGACACGATTACTTCGGCAGAAATAGAAGAGTCCATGTAACACACAAGATGCCACTCCCACTTATCAAAAACAAATAAAGATGTCACTCACAGTTCTGCTACCCAGTCTTGTCTTTATTATTTTTTTTATTTTTTGGT